ACTGCCGGTTTTGAATTTTTAGCTCATCAAATTCACATGTAGGTCTTCTTCTCCAAATTATATCTTGGAATGTAATGTCCAAATCAAGAAGAATGTATGATCACAATTATTGTGGTATTCGTATTTGTCTGTGTCTGTGTGTGCCTGTATGTGTGCGCGTACGTGCGAGCGTGTGTTTATGTTCATTTTGTAATTGCTAACTTAAGGAGCATTCTATTTAACAGACATAGGTAGACAAATAGACAGACAGACAGAAAGAAAGACAGAAATGTACGCATGTGTAGACCTTTTGCTATTTAAGCACAACGCTGACCACAATTTCAAAGAAATTTTGACTGAGATAAAAAACAACAATATCATGTCTTTTGTATAGAAGTATTTGGTCTTGTGAGAGCCCATTTGGTTATTTAACTGACCAGTTTTCCTTCCTTATTAAAAAATCATAATACCTGTTCAAATAATGTTGCATATCAAATATTCCGAACTGGATGTATTATCAGATACACAATCACGTTACAATGATTTCAAATGTTACAAAAATTGAACAACAGGCAACAATTTGATCATCACCTGACGTCTTTATCATGTTAATTACCACCATGAGATGGAAAAGATTTCCCAACATATAACAAGCATTACGCAGTTTTCTCTTATTCCTTTGCTGATCAACGGAATCGGAAGAATACATAAGATTGTTTGGAACAGCCAAGGTAAATCACTTTTTTTTCTTCTTTAAGAGATAAAAGTAATGTACTTATAAATCATTTATAAAGACTAATGTGACCCATAAAACAGTACTACCTGCTACAGAACTACACCCTGTAACACTGTCCCAGATGTGTGACAGGTTGCGCCTTTCTCCGCTTTTTGTCACTGAAGATCTCTGGGGCCAAATGTAAATGGCAACCTTTACCTTCGGTTGAACCACAGAGGGTCAAGGTCCAAGATGTCCACACTGGTCCAGCTGATTGTGTGAACAGGTGCCTCAACGTTGATGTGTTGGCACTGCCTCTTAGATTCACCAATGAACTGATGTATTTATGCCTGCTAATTAATTAGATTAATTGGAGAATGTGAGATGGCTTTGTGAGCGACGATAACGAGGATTTAAAATTATATCTTTCAGATCTTGGAATATATCATCGTAAAGAAGACCTGCACCCAACCAAGATGTTCTGTAGTCTATTGATAACTGTGTTTGCTGTCATGTTGACGGGTGGCGTTGGTTCCAAACTAGTTATACGGGATAAAAAGGTATCAGAATTACCTGTGCTGACTTACCAAAGTTGTTCTTTATGTAATCTAATATTTCTCGGATAATGCATGAAAAAAATGTATTTGTCATCTTTGTTATTTGGCGTTAAAAAAATAATGTCCAATTTGGCAAAACGAGTGTTGAATTCTAAGGCCAGTGTTAGCAGTTCAGGTTCATGCTTATAATTCAATAACAAATACTAATAAGATCCATAAAACAATACTGCTTACTACAGTACTGCACACTACCAGTATAACACAGTGAGCCATAGGCAGTAAACAGTTTTACTCTGAGCACCGACTAGCAAGGCATGTAAACGCAATAAAACATATTGGTTTATTACTTTAATTATAGTAGATTAAACGCATTGGAACGTAGATAATGGTGTAAAGTGATGGAACCTTAATCATGAGATGATGAATGCCTGTTTCTCTTACAGGTACAAGAAGGCCGTATGGGACACGGCGTGGAATGAGATTATGAATGACAAAAACTTAGAAAGCGTTACCGCAAACGATGTGATCAAAAATAAAGCTGAAATAATTTCAAAATTTGTTGAGCGACATAACCTGGACAAGGACGACGAATGGGCTCTTACGTTCTTTGATCTGGTGGATGAAAACGGGGATAATACTCTTGATGCAAAAGAGTATGCCAACTTTCTCACGATTTTCCACGCTGAATTTTCTCCAGAAATTTTCTCTGACATGGATTTCGACAGAAACGGTACTATAAGCAAAAGTGAAATGGTTATAAATCATTTGCTGTTCAATACAGGGGACACGATGAAAGGTGCATATTTTTACGGGAAAGTAATTTAACCCAATGGCTCTCACCTGATCTCAACAAGTGAACACTTTCGAGGTCACAAGCCGAACAACAAATGTAACCAGAATAAATTGTTATATTCGGTTTATTATCAAGCTAAAATAAAACGTCGAATCAACCTAAAATTACACTAAACTTTGTTTAATTAAGTTGTATAAGATAATATGTAAGAAACTTTCATTTACAAAAGTGACATTATAAACCACGGCTAGATATTTCATATTTGTAATTTACATATAACTCCATGCCNACACTTTCGAGGTCACAAGCCGAACAACAAATGTAACCAGAATAAATTGTTATATTCGGTTTATTATCAAGCTGAAATAAAACGTCGAATCAACCTAAAATTACACTAAACTTTGTTTAATTAAGTTGCATAAGATAATATGTAAGAAACTTTCATTTACAAAAGTGACATTATAAACTACGGCTAGATATCTGATATTTGTAATTTACATATAACTCCATGCATATGATATATGTTAAATTGATCTTCTTGTTAGCCTGTGTTAAGGTTTGTTTTCCTCTCCAGCTCTATGTCTGACATTCATGCACAGTACCCGTGCTATTACGTCCAACACATGAGGAAGTATAGAACACTGTTAATTTGTCATTGTATGAACCAAAACTTTTATCTCAGCCAAGACAGAAATCCAAGCAAAACTGGTTGATTGCCAATACCTAGACATGGAAGTTTAATGGGCTCTTCCGTTTTTTTTTTTTTTTTTTTTGAGCTGGTGGATGCAAACGGAGATAACATTCCTGTTGATTAAGAGTTCGCCAATTTCCTCAAGATTTTCAACATTCCATTTTGTCCAGAGATTTTCTCTGAAGTAGATACAGCAAAGGAGCAGGTAGGAGTGAAATGGTTATGAAACATTTGTCGTTCCTTACAGGCAGCAAGAAGAAGGGTGAAGGTTTTTTATGGAAAAAATAGAATTATCCAATTACAGGGGAAAAGATATAAAGGACTTGGGGGAAGGACCATTTGAATGATCCTGGGCCTTTTTCAACGACATTTTAAAGATTGAGCACTGTTATCAGCAAATGAGGGATTACTCAGTAGCATTACAGAAAATCGACTTTATCCTTTACCTTATGTTCAAGTTCAAGTAAAAATATCTAAACTCGATTCCATATAATAAAAACAAAAATCACTGCATCAATCAAGGTCTAATAAACGCTTTTAACTGCTGAATTTGAATTTTCATAACAATTTGACGAGAGAGCTAAATGCTGTTCAGCGGACCTTGGAAGCACAAAAAGTAACTCGGAAAAGTGTTTTTTATCATATGGTCTTAATTTCAAGAACAATAGAGAAAAATGCAAACAAAGTAATAAAATTTAGGAAAGGACAGATTTTTTTTCTTTTATTGAATGAGAGTAGCTTGTGGTTTATTTCGTACCAATTCCTTCAATAAAATATAACAAATTAAAAATAAGTGTAATAACTCACCATAAGTAAGTCATGTGATACAGTTGCAGATATTTAATATGGTGTTTTATTTTGGACTACATTAGAAAGTAGCCTTGCTAATATTTCAATTATATGCAGTGGGAGGACAGCATTTCGTTAACATACGTAACAAGACAAAATTCAGATATGCTGTTGATTCCTTGCTTCATTGAGACACGGGACTCACGTGTAGTCCCAAGGGATAGAAGTAATACATAATATAAGAATGGTGTATTTTTTCACTAACTGAAATGGAAAATGCAGGGCGCCAGAAAAGATAATGACCTGTAAAATGGACTGTTATTCATGACATCTGGTTACCGGATATATGCGGTCAGACTTCGTGTGTTTTACTTTTCTGCCATTATACGGGCACTGCCTCTTGCATCAGACTCAACGTGACTTGTCACTGACTTAAACACCACATAATATAGGCACAGACAGACAGATTATGATAGTACAACAAATTCAGCTCAAAATTGGATCAAGCATTATTAAGCCAACAACCTATGCAAAAAAAAATCTTAGTGTATTTTTAGATGGATCGCTTTGTATGAACAAACATATTGCCAGTATATGCAGGTCATCTGGTTACCGGATATATGCGGTCAGACTTAGTGTGTTTTACTTTTCTGCCATTATACGGGCACTGCCTCACTGAACATTTTAAATGGATTTTAGACTTAAAATAAATCTATTATTATTATTATTATTATTATTATTATTATTATTATTATTATTATTACAAAGATTAAAAGAACAATAGGGATCCTAAGCATATATTGGTCTCATTATACAAAATTTAAAAGTGTGTTAAACACAACAGAAGATATTGAAAAAGTGCCTCAAACTTTAGCAATTTTAGCAGAAAAACAAACGACCGAAATCAAGATATCAGTATATTTTGAGATAATACCTTCCAATAATCAAATTTAATCAAGCATTCACAGCCAGGAATTCAAACAATGCTTTGATAAGGGCAAATCTATCCAATTTTTATAAATACAAGATGGCTGCCATCAATTCTGTCTCAAAATACAGTTACCGTAATTCCTCAAAATAATCAAGAGGCCCATTTTTGCATGTTTTTTATTTTGAGATTTGTAATACAGGATTGTTCAAACATTCATATTCTTTTCAAACAGAGCCATACAACTTCTGAATAAATTAAAA